AATACTAGATATCTCCAAAGTCGGTACTGGAATGCTGAACAACTGGTACAGTGAGAATAAGCACCAAAGTTCGGATTGAGAACTTTCAATTTGAATTGAAAAGTCAAGTAATGTGAACAACCAGGAGCGAAAACGCTTCTTTTGGCAAGATCGCATTTCAAACACAGCAGCGACGTACATATTAGTAGTATGTGAACTTGGGAAAGAAAGGGCACGATTTTAAGATGCGGTTGGCGGTGTCTATGTTTAGAAACCCGTCTGAACATGGTCTTAAAATATTTTGTAGAATTTTGGAATGGAAAATTGAAATATCGAAGCGAAGAAAACATTAAAACTAACATGGATTCATTTGCGAGATTCATCTCACCAATCATATTGGTAGCTTAAAATTTGTCCGTTTGTTGGAATAGGATAAAGAGATGTATGTTTTGCATTTGTCGTAAATGTGACCAGTAAACATTTTAATATTTATGTACCTTCTTTTACTTTAGCTTGTAATGCTCTCAGACTTTTGGATTATAGGATAGCGGAGGTGTAGATTGTAAGAAAATGGGAAAATGTTATTCTTGTATTTAAAACCCAGACTTTCTTAGACAGAGGCTGTATATGATAAATCCTATCAAGGTTCTTTTATTTGTGGATCATTTAACTATAAAAATGTGATATTATTCCTTTTTGATATAGTCACAGTGTCAACGGTACAGTACCTACTTGTATTGATAATAATATATATAATATCATTGAGAAGAACGAAGGCATAACAGAGTTTTGATATCGGGATCGATTTAAAGAGGTATATTCTGATTTGTATTATGCAGAACCTCAAAGACTTGTTCTATTTCGCGGATGGGTACCAATATCTTTTTCGCGTGCCCGGGCGGGGCCCAATCCGCAAGATTACTTTTCTCTCCTGAATGTTTTGTATGAATGAAAGCAAATTTATGGATTGCCGAAATAAATAAACGATTATTAGGGCGTTTTGTGCTTTGTTTGGTTATTTTTGTTCAGTTTTAGTGTATTATTTCTCTGCAACTTTGTTTTAATTTAAATGTTTTTGATATTCTATAACAGTATATATAGTACACACATAAAGTGTATATAAAGATGTATACTTTATGTATGTACTTTAGTATACATACGGAAGTTTTAATAAATACGGTTTGGAACAAAAAAGCCGCTTATGGACACATGTGATTCGAATTTATTAGCTGACATCCTTTTAAAAGTTTGTTCGGGACATGAAACTAAACTATTTTTTACACCAGCTGTTTCATAACTTTGAGTCGATTAGGTATTCTTATTTACTGTGGAACTTATAAGGCGGCTTCTTTCACTACTGTGCAAGTTCAGCGTTTTAAACGGGAATCAAGAAACCTTTTTGGCACTATAGTGCCAAATTATATATAGGTAGTTACTTATAACTTGGTCCTCAGCAACAGTTTACTTCAAGGTCACCGTTGTCAAGACTTTTGGTATTTTATTGGACATTTTCAATTTCAAGGAACGAGCACAGACATTCCATGAAATTCCATGAAAAATGAGATTAAAATATCACCCGTGCCTTTCCATTACCTGTGACTAGACAAGATTTTAGCATTACACTCAATTTCCATAAATTTTCACGAAGCATATTGCAACTACATTTACAGAGCCTGGAACAACTGTTTGCTGTGGTCGGTATTTACCGTAAATATTTATTTTTGAAAGTAAGAGCAAATATACACTTTCTATGTGAGGGTGGAAATTGTATACAAACGTAAGCCTATATAAATTTATGACGAAAATGTAGTTTTATGCAATGTGCCTATTTTATAAATGAATGAAGGTCTCTTATGTTAAAAAATTATGTATGGGTTCATTTCGTCTATTTGATATTTTATAGACAGCCTTTTGCGAATAGAAAGTTACTACTTTTCTAATTTATGTGTCCAATACCGGAAAGATAACAGCATTTATGTCGCTCTATATGTTAATCGCTGCTCTACGTCTTGTGGGTATGGCGTAATGATGAAGTTACTCGTAGATAAATTTCAAGATTTCACGAGCGATAAACATATATAAATTTGTACAAAAATAATAGTTATTTATTATGCAAGGCTGCAAAGTTGTTGTTTGATACGAGTGCTTGTATTGAAACATGGGAAGCGAAGGATCCTAAGATTGAACCACGAGCAAAGCGAGTAGTTCAAAAATATAATCCTGAGCGAAGCGAGGGTTTCAAGACACGAGACGCCAAACAACTTTGCCGCCGAACAAAACACACAAGTTTTCACCTCATTATGGCGAGGAAAATAGTGGATGAAAAAAAACGATTGATAACAAATCAGTTTTAATATAACACAATCTCAGTACAGAGTACTAAAAAAACCCACCTCAAAAGTACGTGGAATTACATCTATTTGCCAAGTTTTATTGAAATGCGCAAACTCGGATTCATGACCTAGTTCGCCACTATACGGAACTTGACACAGGAGATGATAATAAAAATCAGTTCTCACTGAGAGAGAAAAATGCCTTAAATTGGAGGATAGCAAAATCAACCGTTAAAATAATTGCTCCTTATAATAAAATTTTGGCGCTATTTATAAAAATGAAATATTCTTTTTGCACATAAAATTACAGCTAAAATAACTTAGGTATAAAGATAGTAAGATAATGTGCAACATGCGGCCTTATTGCTATGTAGCAATTTCTTTCAGGCAACCTTAGGATATGAATTTGGGATATGCAGAAGGGGTGCAACCAAAGAATATCATTATAAGTACACTACACAATAATTATTAATAAACTCATATACGTAGATAGAAATATCCATACAAATATTATTAATACATAACAATACATAAGTAATAATATTAAATGCTTATATACATAAAAGGAAAAAGAAAAATGAAATAATACGTATAGAAAATAAATGAAAGGATATTGGAGAAAAAGACAAAACTTAGGAGTTGAGGAAGTGATCTTTGACACATCGTTTGAAGGAATCAAGAGAAGGGGAACCTTGAATCGATTCTGGGAGAGAACTCCACAATCTGATCGCAGAAACTGTAAAAGAGTTGGAATAAAATTAGGGGTTTGGGATGTTTAGTAAGAGAGTATCAGAGGAGTGAAAGGGACGGCAGAGTGCAGAAGAGTGGAAAGTAAAGCGATCTTTGAGATAAGAAGGTGTAAAGGGACAGAATAGAATTGAGTAAAGTAGGGAAAGAATGTGAAGATCTGTACGCTGGGGGATGGGTAGCCATTTAAGTTGTGCACGAAACTGGGAGACGAGGTCAAATTTCCGATGTCCAAAAATGAACCTCACATACATATTTTGGAGTCGTTCCAATTTATTGAGCAGAACAGACAAATCCGGGTAGCAAATATCGGCATAGTCCAGTATCGGATGGAGAATGCTCTGGGCCAAAGTAATTTTAGTTTTAGTGGGTAAAAAGTTTTTAAGCTTTCTCAGGGAAAATGCGCACCAAACACCTTCCCGCTAACCTCAGCGACGTGCGGCTTCCAAGTCAGACATTTATCAAAAATTACCCCCAAATTCGTAACTGTGTTCACAAAAGGAATTCGGACACCACCAAAAACCACATGGGATAAGGAGTCTAGGTCTATACGAGAAGTGAACCAAGTGCTACCTATAATAATGGATTGTGTTTTGGACGGGTTAACTTTCAGGCCAAAGGAGTGACTCCATCATGTCCACATTGGTAGCATAAATAGCACTTGAGACTTACGTCTTGAAGAGACGACTTGGTGTAAATTTGGAGGTCATCAGCATATAGATGATAGGAAGAAGTGAGAGAGTGTGTAATAGAATTAATAAACAAAGATAATAAGAGAGGAGAAAGGACGCCACCCTGCAGAACTCCGGCAGAGATATCACACCACGTAGAGAGAGAATTCTCATTACGTCCACACTGCCAACGTCCACAGAGGTAGCTTCGAAACCAATCAATAACTGCTGGAGATATGTTAAGAGAACGCAATACTTCCAATAATAAGTCAAAGTTAAAAAAATTGAAGGCATTACTAAAGTCAAGGAGTGTCAGCACAGTCAATTGTTGATTTTCCATACCCAAACGGATGTCATCAGTGATTTTCGTGAGTGCAGTAGTCGTACTATGACTAATGCGGAAACCGGACTGGAGAGGATTGAAAAGGTTGTTCGTTTAGGAAATTAGTCAACTGATGGTGAACAAGCTTTCTAGAACTTGACGGGAAAGGAAGGATTGAAATAGGATGGTAGTCTGTAGGGGTTTGTTTTTTTTTGGTAGCGGGATGACATAAGCGTCTTTCCAGGCAGAGGGAAAAACACAGGTAGAGACAGATTTATTAAGGATTTTGGTAATGACGGGAGTGAGGAGACCGAGAAGAGGAATGATCATATTACGACTAATGCAATCACTACCTACAGCATTGGAGGCGATAGCTAAAACGTTTCTCTTAACATCACAGTCAGTAACTCGATTAAGAATGAAAGAAGAATAGTCAGGAGTTGGCAATGAAGAAAGATATTGCAAGGTGTTGACTGAACACTCAAAGACGCAGGTGCAGATGCAAAGGTGCAGATGAAAAATGATTGTTAAGGTTATCGAGGTTCAGATTTATAGAATAGAATAGAATAGAATAGAAGTCGTTTGTTACTACGCCACAACAAAAATATACACAGTAATAAAGTGAAGACAAAAAATAAAAGATGAAGCTACATTAAAACAAAAAATTGAAATAAAAATAACTGGAAAAAAAAAGGAATAAAAATAACATCATACACATCAACAAAGCAAACATGAAATATTTAACACAATTAGACTAAGTGTCATGTGCGCGGCTGTGGCGTAAGTAACAGGATCCCACTCAGCTATTGTCACCACCGAAGAAAGGCTGTGATGCTGATTTTCAGTGGGCCCTAAAACCGAGTGAGTACCGGACGTGTGTGTCGCGAATATACAAGTAAACTTAAATAAATTACATAAATATTTCTATAATGTGGTGTGTTGTGTTCAGTTATATGTATAGAATACTTAAATAATGATTTTGATACATATATAAAGTGATAAGTGTATACATACACAACAATACAAGTGCATGTAAATACAAGTATATGTAGTGTAGTGTCCAACATTTACAACAAACAAAATAGATCTTATTTAGTTTAAAATGAAACCGATTGTGAGATTTGTGTCACGTGTACTACGCAAGAAGAGAGGGTAGGCGCGCGGGAGGGGTCCCCGGCTTACTAGCACGGAATACTGACCTCACGAGCCAACAAAAGTGCAGCCCGCTTCGTTGTAAACACTAAACAGGTTTTGTCCTGCGTCGTAGGTAATTAGCTCGCATAATAGCGTGCAGTCTCCTATACCATAAGAGGTACGTACTAATCTGTATAACTTATAAACTTTACAGGTTATCATGAATAATCGTATTGCATAATGAATTGTATATTGAATAAAAGTGTTTAAAAAATTAAATGATAATTAATTAATAAAAGATTAACAATGAAAAATAGTAATAATTAATAACATTTTTCAGGGAAAATAAACAATCAAATTTATTATTTATATCGCTTGCCGTATCCCGCATAACAATGATGACGATGTCCGCCGCGCACCCATGCCATAAGTCGAATAACAGTACGGTAAGTGCCCATGTAAACTTATACGGTTTTTTTTTGAATGTCTAAAAGATATTGTTTATATTTGCTTTTAAACGTGTGCACTGATTGCAGACTACGGAGCGGCGGCGGCAGCAGTACATTCCATATCTTCGCTGCGGCGAATTTGAAACTGCCGCGGAACGCGGCGGTGCGACAGCGCGGCAGGACTAGCGACCAAGCTGACGCTCTGGTGAACGCTGCCTTCACGTCGCGGGACCACACCAACTCCTCAGCCAGATAAGACGGGACTCTGTATTTTATAACCCCAAAGAGAAGTGTAGCCAAGTGCAGATCTCTTCGCGTTTTCATTTTTAAAATATTAGCGTCGTTTATGTAAGGGGTTACGTGCGTGCGTGGTGGTATATTAAAACAAAACCTTGCGCAGGCGTTCTGCACACGCTGTATTATTTGTTGTGTGCGCTTCAACAGCCGCGATCCATACACCACATCCATATAATTAAATTGTGAGAGAACTAATGAGTCACACAATTTAATGCGAATGTCAGCATTAATGTAATTCCTGATGTTATATAATACCTTTAACCTATAAAAACAATTTCTGACGATGCCTAACACAGATTTAGAGAAGAATTATTGCTATGAGATTTAACAACTTCAAGCGACTTAAGAAAATTTTAGTGGGTTTACCATTTTCGATGGACTTGTGGATATGACGTAGCTGAGCGTCCGTGACCAGTGAATTGCAGCGATTTCTGACACGGTAATATTTTTTGCAATTTGCATCGGATGGTTCAGCTTTGTACCTGGCTTTCGCACGATTCTTCTTCTCCATAAAGTTACGAAGGTCACTATACAACCACGACGCAGGAAGAAGCCTGATACGAACAGGTCGAACCGGTGCATGTATGTCATAGCGACGTAAATAACTCGACCTGATCATCCACAAATGAATCTTAATGCGTGATCAGCCACCCTTAGAGGTGGATGATTTTCTTCAAAATTAAATGGAACCACTATGGAGGTACTCTCTTTCCAACACAAAAAGAATCATCAAAATCGGTTCTCAGATGGCGGAGTTAGCGCGTAACATATACACAAAAAAAAAAAACAGTCGAATTGAGAACCTCCTCTTTTTTTTGAAGTCGATTAAAAATTAGATATCGTTGTCAATTAAATGTCAACAATAAGAAGAATAATACCAACGGACTTATATTTCATGTATAATGTACGATAAATCCCGTAGTCGACTGAGTCATTATGTTTTTTTTCATCGAAAGAAAATGTTAGGGGCACCAACAGTCCATCATCAAGTTCGAATTTAAAAAAACCTTTTCCACGCGAAAAACACTTTTAATTGAAAAAACGCTTTTGCACGTATATTTCTAATGAGAAATAAAGCCTTTCCGAGCTAGTGAGCTGAAAAATAATTTTAATTTGTAATTGCACTAGTAATATTACTAAAAATATTTTTTTTATAATAACGCACACACTCATAGCCCCGCACCAAGAAAACCCTATATCATCGGTGTCATGGACACACACATAGACAACCACAAATTATGCCCAAACTCACGAGTGAAATAAATGTAGGCCATTCAAATATTTCTCCCGGTCCTGGAATCGCCGAATCTCGAACGCGTGATCTCTACGGCACGAGAATGGTAACTGTTAGGCTACGGAGGTTGTTAATAGTTACTTGTTATGCAAGGCTGCAAAGTTGTTATTTAATGTGATTGGTTGTATTGAAACCTGAGCAAGCGAAGGAAGCCAAGATTGAACCACGAGCAAAGCGAGTGGTTCTAAAATACATTCCTGAGCGTAGCGAGAGTTTCAAGGCACGAGACGCCAAAACAACTTTGCTGCCGAGCGAAACACACAACTTTTCACCTCACTATAGCGAGGAAAATGGTAGATCAAAGAAAAAGAGTTGAACATCAGTTTTTTTAATTAAAAGAAAAGGTTATCTTTGGATGTTCAGAATTTACACCTCATCAATTTTTATTCTTGCTTGCACTTTTATTTTGTGTGATTAAGTGATTATTGAAATGATTTTAGTTCTTCGACGAATTAATAAACGCAATTAGTTAACATTGTCAATTTAATGGCAACAATAATTAGAATAAAATATATTAATGGATTATATTACATAAATAAGTAATGTACGACAAATCGCGTAGTTGAACGTGTCATTTATAATTTTTTTTATCGAAAATAAGTGTTAGGTGCACCACAGACCAACGTCAAGTTCGAATTTCAAAAACCTATTTCACGCTAGCGTGCAAAAAACGCTTTTGCGCGCAGATTTCTAATGAGAAAGAAAGCCATTCCGAGCTAGTAAGGTGAAAATGTTATTTTATATACTAAATTCAAACTTATATAATAACTATTATAAATACGAGAGTAACTCTGTGTTACGTTTTCACACCTAAACCGCTGACCTAATTTAATGAATTTTGGTATAGTGATAGATGAGACCGGAGGACATAGGCTACTTTTTATCACAAAAATAAATCTTAAAGAGGGTCAAATAGGGGTGAAAGTTTGTATGGAGAGCCAATAAAATTATGAAAATTAGTATAGTACAGTAGACTAATCGCGGGCACTGGCTAGTAGAGTATTATTTGAACACATTGTTGGTCATAAAAGCCGACTATTCGCTTACTTTCGAATGTAAATTTAATCTTGACTAGCACACAAATAGTCGCCACATATGTAAATATTTGATAACAAAAAAGTACACTGTGACAGTTATTACGTTTAGAACATACATACATGACAACACAAATATAAAGAATCGTTGACCTTATGAAATAGTCGTAAATCCTGCTACCGTAAAAACTGACGAACGTACAGCTATTTCTGAAAACAAAAAACGCCAAGTTTTTGCTTTCGAAGTAAAAGAGCAAACGGCAAAATGAATAAAAGAGAATACTTTTTCTTTGTAAAATGTGACAAAGAGGTGGTGCGGGATTTTTCAACGTAGAGTTATTGTCTGTGACGTAAAGTCGCTCTGAAAAATAGTGCCGCGTGTTTCATTTTTATAACTTGTTAAATGAGAGTTAATACCCCGGGCGCTTCTCTTGAGTCTTAAGTTCCTGTTTAGGGGCAGTGTTTGTTTGCACTATAATTTAATTATTGTGACTAATATTATTTCTTTCTGCGCGGTCTTATACTCTAAGGAAAGCTTAGGTTTAGAGCCGTTTGGAGACCATGGTTTATGTTTACTTGCTGTATAATATTGCGTATTTTTACTTATTCTATAACTCAAACTGGTTAGTTTAACCTCCTTCGAAATGCAGGTTTCATGACGATGTTCCCCTTCGCCAGTCGCAGGATTTTTGACACTTTCAATTCAATGTGCGTATCTTCGAAATTAAAGTCATTGGTATATGCCTCTACAGGGGTTCACACCGTTGAACTTCAATTGAGACACAACTGTTCTCTCACCCTGGGTGGACACTACTCTATAGTCTGTACCAATCCATTTTAAACAAAACTGTTTGGTTAAAATTCTAAAGTAATCACTCAATAAATCAAATAAGTAACACTTTTACGTATATTTCGAAGATTTCGACGTGATATCTCCTCTCGTTTTAAATTTGTTTTAAGTTTTAAGTTGTGTTATTCACTTGAATTTGAAAAATGGCAGTCCAAAAGTGAGGTTATATTTTAATTATACAATTGTGATTTATGTATGGTTGCATAGTACTGTACGACAAAAACATTCGGTTCATTCAATTAAAGTTTTTGTAATCGATTAGTAAATCAAACATTTCAATCGCTATCGAACAAGTATATAAGTGTAAGGATTTCAAGGAGGATTTAAAATTAAGATTTTTATTTATTTATTTATTGCTTTCGATGATTTCGGAAATTTTTGAATATGTTCTTATAGGTTATGTAAGAAAAACCGCCAGTATGACTCAATCAAACTAATCGATTCATTGTTCATTGGTGATATTTTGCCTTGAGGGATGATGAAACCATGGGGGTTTTCTGTTTCCACAGAGCACACCTAGTGACAATCGCTTGGTCATTCGTAGTCATTGTTGTGCATAGGAAGCTGTTACGGCTTTTGAAGTGATACAGAGTGTTGACTGTGACTCTCTTGTCTATGCTTCTCCCTGGAGCACGCTACATTCCGACGCACGTAATATTACGTATGGTGGTGTAGTATCTTCTTGGGTTCTAGAGGGTATACCATGTTGAGGAGAGTTGGCTTGAGGCAGCCATGATTATACTTGTGCAGAGTTATGCCATACCGGAAACGCATATTCACCGGCAGAGAAACACAGTCTTATGTTTGCTATATCGTGATATTGTTTGTAGAACATATAGCGCTGCTCCTCAATTCGTGGATGTTAGACGTTCAGGAAGGTTGTTGAGTGAGTGCACTTTCATTTTGTTCTTTTGACAGTACTATGAGATGATGACAAGATACGAGTGGAAGAAGTGAAAGAGATATGTCAAGAGCGTAACAGCTCTGCTTACATACATAATATTATGTACGTATTAGTGGGTTTCTTTTTTCGTTACAAAAACGCCTCGGTGACACTTAGATTCAACACTATTAGTACATAAGATACTATATAGTACACTTAATTCACTGGTTAAGTTTTAATAGAGCACAAAGTCCAGTGAATTACTTTAGAAAAATTAATTGTAATGAAAATTTCGTATTGCGACGGTGAATGTGTTGCGGTTTAATTCCAACTACAAATTAACACGAACTTCTATGTTGTTTAAGTAGCCTTATTAAAATAAAACACGCAAGGAAATATTGCATTTTCGTAACACTATTTATCGCTTAACATTTACAAAATATTATTAAAGTATTTGTATATATGCTATTACAATTTTGCTATTACATTACTTTTAAGAAAGTTTTAATACCTGGCGACGATTCTGATATTGAGACAAACAGGTACGAGTCTAAATAAACCGCACAGATATTAAATTACGGTTTAAATTCAAGTGAATCCTTTTTGAATATTACCCAATTTCTTTCGAGTTATCTGCCACCATTTTCATCAATGTTTTATAGCGGATTTTTGCAAATGTGTGAGTGTATTTTAATGTGAATACGTAAGTTTTATTAATGAAAATAATGTACGTGTACCGTCGTGTGTCGTGTTAAAACCGGTAACCAATGGGAGACAGATATAATAGTAAGTACGTAATACTGGTAACCAAACTTAGGACCGCTTAAATTAACGCCCGCTTAGCCATCGAGTTCATTTAAAGAATATGCGGCCGTTAAATGGTTACGTGACTTGCTTTGCATTCCGCTTCTGTCACAGTGCCAGTGAAGATTGTTTTCCCTCATATCCCACACACGAGTCACATGACTCCTCCGTCACGTCGTATATCACTACAACATCCATTTGTCAGGCAAGTCCATGGTCTAAAGTCGCTGTTGTAGACCGTGCCTGCATTCCCTCAGATTTATATCAGTCCAAATTGAATATATTGCAACTTTAAATAATATCACATCTAGCTAATTGTTTAATGTTTATGAGTCATATAGATTGTTTATTATAATAACATTACCTAATTAATAAAACTTTTTCAAATGTGTGATAACGTTTTTTATAAAATT